TGTGTGTGTGTGTGTGTGTGTGTGTGTGTGTGTGTGTGTGTGTGTGTGTCTTTCCACCCCCTCATCCTCAGGATCTCTGGACTTTTTTTTTTTAATGGAATTTATTGATTGCCCCCCCCCCCATGGATCATGCTGTTCTGTTTCTTTGTATACTTGTGACTTGTGAGTTCTTGTTTTTACTTTTAATTGGTTCTTTGTGAATTTCACATCATACACCCCAATCCCATTTATCTCCCCTCTCCTTGCACCTGTCCTCCACCCTTGCAATCTCCCTCCAAAAAGAAAAAAAAATCTCGTGGTGGAAGCTGTAGTGTGTCACAGTGTGTATACCCTTTGTCCACACTTCTTTGCTTGTGCCTGTTCATTGCAATGAGTCATTGGTCTGGTAGGAGGCCTCTGGCTTCAGCTTCTCTATCAATACTGGAACCTCACTGGGACTCCTCTTGGCTATCCAGTTGTTGCCCTGTGTCATGGAGATCCTGTAGTTTTAGATCTGTAGGACTGGCCCCTTCATGCACTTTAGCTCAATCAATGTTGGGGTAGGCCCATTCAAAGTCCTGGATCTGGGCCTGAGAGATATCAGAGCTGGTCAGCCCACCAGCTGCCCTGCTGTCACACGCTTGGGGCCAGCTCACCAGCAGCCCCCACCACCAGGGCCAGCTCCACCTCACTCTCCCAAGTGTTGCAACTGGTAAAGGTCATGCCTGGTTCTCCCATTCTTAGGACCCCGGGGCTAGCTCTCCTGCCTGCCATATATATGGCAAGGGATGAGGAAAGGGAAGGGGACATCTCTCCCTCATCTACGCCACCAGCCAAGAGGCAGGGCCCACTCCTGTGCTCACGCCCTCCATGCCTGCTCACCTGCAACCCTCACATCCAGGCTAACTCCACTGTGCTGCCCAGGTGAGGTGCAGGACCCGCTCTCCTGCTCTCCTGACCCCAGGGCCAGGTCTCCTGAGTGCCCCAGGAGGGGAGGGGAAGAGCGAAGGAGAATTTCTCTCCCTCATCCATGCCATTGCCTGGGAGAGGAGCGGTAGGGCCAGCTCTCCCATGTGCATATCCTTAGGCTGGCTCACCTGCCACTCCTGCAGTGTGCAGGATCAACTGAGTCCTGCAGCTGGCTAGGGGTGGTGTCAGCTCTCCTGCGCTCACATCCCCAAGGCCAGCTCTCCCATGATGCCCAGGTGAGGGGTGGGGCCGGTTCCGAACAGCCCTCAGACGTAAACATGTCCCGGGTGGCAGCCTAGACCAGGGACGCAGCCTGGCCTTTGGTCACAGATGTGATGCTCAGTGGTAGCACAGGCCAGGACCCCACCATGGTCCCAGATGGCATCACCAGCTCTTCACGTCAGACTGTTCCTCATTATCCTCAAGTATCCACTTCTGCCTCTCTACATCGTGTCCACATCCTTCTCTTTCTCTTCTAATTCTTCACCTCTTGCTTGCTTCTCTTAGTGTTGTCTGTCAGGGTCTGGGTTGTCTCAGGAGAGCTATGCCTCACTTTGTGCATTTTGGTGTCAGGCTGGGGTCATCTTGGGCCTGGTGTGCCCCTCCAGGCCTGTGCGGCTCCAGACGGGTGGTCATTTCAGGCTAGCTACCCGTCTGGGCCCCTGGTGCCGGTCTGGGGTGATCTCAGGCTGCTGATCATTCAGATGTTCATAAGTCAGAATACTGAGCGTAGGGGTGTTCTCTCCTCTGCTACCTACTGAGGTGCGTGTGGCACAGCGGCCATACCTACGACACCCCTAGGGGCAGGCACTTTGAGGTTTTTAATTGGGGGGGGGTTTGAAAGCTTCTTTTGATAATTCTGTGCAATCATTTTAAATTAGCATATGAAATAACATTTTATTATGGCATCTTCATAATAAATGTCACTCTACTTTATCGTCATCCCCCCCAAGACAGATTCTGCCCGTTCATTTGTCATCTGGCTAGGAGGTAGACGTGCCTGAAACACCATCTTCCCTAATGCCGGACCTCCAGTGACCCCTAATTTTTTCTCCTTTTGTTTTGTCTGCTTTGAGGACTGAACTCGTGGCCTCTGAACATGCTAGATGAGTTGCATACCGGGCCCTCACCCTGTTACAGAAAAAAACTAACCTGAAGATTTTGTGCGTGTAGGAGCAGTTGTGTGTGCACGCCCTTGTGTGAGTTTGCGTGTGAGCAGGGAGGCCGGAGGACTTGGGTAGTGCTGCCTGGGTGTTGTCTGCTCTCTTAGAGTCTCCCACCGGCCCAGAACTTGGCAAGCAGGCCAGGACGGCTAACAGCAAGCTCTGAGGGTCTGCTTGTCTTTGCTTCTGGCACTGGGATTGCAAGCATGTGCTGCTCCCCGAAGCTTTTAAAAATGTGTGTGCTCTGGGATCAAATTCAGGTCTTGTTTACTGACTAAGCCCTCTCCCGAGGACATTTTTAAAACACTAGCTTTTTAAAATTAATAATTTTAGAATTATTTATTTTATTTTATACATGTGAGTGTCTTGCCTGTATAGAGGTGTGTGTGTCACGTGCATGCCTGGTGCTAACGGAGGCCAGATGGTGTCAGGTCACCTGGAACCACCATGTGGGTGCTGGGAATTGAACCCAGGTCCTCGGTCCTCTGTAATAGCAGCAAGTGCTCTTAACCACTAAGTCGTCTCCCCGTCCCTAAAATAATAGCTTTAACGTCTGGTTTCTGGTCAGGCATTTAAGGAGTTGGGAAGTGACTCCTCCATCTACACAATAAAGGAAACTGCTGAGCAAACCGAAAATGAACAGCTTTTGTTAGAGCCATCAAAGAATTGAGGTCTCAGGGTAAACCACTGTCCTGACAGACAGGCAAATCCAGAGAAGCACAGCTTACCCACAGCTAGAGCCAGACTCAGGCTGGAGCGCTGAAACTGTATTCAGCAAATTGCTAGACTCAACATGGTCTGTCTTGGTTGTTGCTTTAAGACAGGGCCTCACGGCTTGGAGCCCAGAACCCTCCTGCCCTGTCCTCTTGCGTGCTGGTATTACAGCAGAAGCCACTAAACCTAGCCCTGATATAGACAATATTTCGGGGAAAAATACCACCAAGGGAGCCAGGAGTGGCTGTGAAAACCTGTAATCCCAGCAGAAGGTAGGCTAGCCTGGGCTTCACAAGATGCTGTCTTTATGAACCCTCTAGGGAAGCTCTTTCTCTTTTATTCAGCTGTTCACATTATATACATATATAATGTACTTTGATAATATTCCCCCATTATTCTCACCCCTTCACTAAACCCTTTCTTCCCAAAGTGGAGGCCCCCACCTGTCCCTTACCCCTAACCCCTGCCTAGTAGATATGTTTTGTTTTGTTTTGTTTTGCGTTTTCTTGTTGCCTGCTGTGTTTAATTAGGGTTGTTTGTGTGAGGATGAGTGAGGGATTATTTACCTGAGCAAGGGCAGCTTCCTATGGCTACATCAGTAACCCTGGTGTGTGGCACACATCTTAATCCCAGCACCCAAGAAGCAGAGGCAGGTGTGACTCTGTCAGTTCAAGGCCAGACTAGTCTACTGAAAGAGTTGTGAGTTCCAGGACAGCCCAATCTATGTAGAAAGACACTGTTCAAGAAATTAATAATAATAATAATAATAATAATAATAATAATAATAATAATAGAAGAAGAAGAAATGACTCCTCAGCAACCATTACCTGCTCAGAGAGGGGTGGCCTATGAGTTGCTTCCCCTTCCATGATGGAATCTGTGAGTGTTGCAGCTCTGAGGGGAAAGGTATTCTGGCGTCCGGGGGGCTGAGGAATACCACAGAGCCACACTGCACAGTAAACCTCACACAAGAGATTTGTTGGGAAAGACACAAGAGGGCGGCTGCTGCTGCTCTGGTGAGAAGCAGCAAGGACTGAGCTGGACGCAGGTTGGAGTTTTCCAGGGTGGGCCTTGGTGGGATCTCAAGCCCAGGAATTGAGCCCAGGCTTTCCACTCTGGAGGGCTAAGTTTGGCCACCTGCATCTGGACAGGCTGGTCCCCATCAGGTGGGGCCTGAAGGTTAGAGGTCCTTAGGAGTGGAGCCTGTGGCCTGAGGGATGATGGGCCCAGTCCTGTTCAGGTGGAAGCTTGGTCTTTTATTTATTATTTATATAGTATTCACATACAGTATTCTGCCTGCATGTATGTCTGCAGGCCAGAAGTGGGCACCAGATCTCATTCTAGCTGGTTGTGAGCCGCCACGTGATTGCTGGAAACTGAACTCAGGACTTCTGGAATAACAGCCAATGCTCTTAACCTCCGAGCTTGCTCTCCAGCCCCAGAAAGCTTGGTCTTAAGAGGACACTGCACTGTTCATGAGTTTTACCTTCAGAAGCCCTGCTGTCACCAGTCATCTGGCTAGGGTCTTTTACCTAAACAGAAATTGTGCATGGGCAAGCACAAGCTTTCCCAGCACTGGGGTTTGGTAGCTTTAGTTTTCCTCAGTGAATGGCCAGAGTGAGCAATAACACTGGGCAAGTAGATGCTCTAACAGCTGGCCCCCTCTAGTGGCGTGCTTGTGCAAGGGACGCTTGACTCAGTAAGCATTAGCGCTCTTTAAAGCTCTTAATTTTATGTGTATGGGTGCTCTGTGTACCAGGTATATGCCTGTTGCCCTCAAAGGCCAGAAGAAGGAGTTGGATCCCCTGGAACTGGAGTTACAGATAGTTGTAAGCTGTCATGTGTATGCTGGACTCAAACCCGTCCTCTGGAAGAGCAGCCAGTGTTCTTAACTGCTGAGCCACCTCTTAACAGCCCCATATTACAGCTCCTGTGTGGGCCTAGGAAACTGTGCCTTCCCAGTGGTTGGCTGCAGCTGGCATTGCAACTTGCAGGCAAGCCCAAGCATGAGGAACGAGGAGCCTTTCACTGCAGCGGTGTTCCAGCTCCCAGACCTGAGACCCTGGGCCCTAAGGCTTGGCAGTTCCCGTCTATTATTAAACAATTTTATGTGCATGGGTGTTCTGCCTGTGTAAGTGTCTGGGCACAATGTTCATGAGGTCTTCTTGGAGGCCAGAAGAAGGTAGAGCCCCTCGGACTGGAGTTGTAGACAGCTGTGAGCCATCATGTGGGTGCTGGGAGCTGAGCCTGAGTCCTCTGGAGGAGCAGCCAGTGTTCTTAACTGCTGGGCCATCCCTCCAGCCCCTGACAGTCCTTTTGCTCAAGGCAGCCAGGGCAGCGGCAGAGAGCCTACGCTGCCGGCCAAGGAGGCATGTGTCTGCTCTCCATCTCTGCTTATTCACAGGAACACAAACACCAGGAAAGCCTTCAATAATGACGTCAGTAATACAACAGCGATCTTAACAGATCTTAACAGTGCATAACACCCGCCCAGAGTACCAGGAAACGATGGTCCCCTTCCTCTGTCTCACTACCCAGTTGATACAGTGAAGCAAAAACTGAGAAAAGTCCCTGAGTGTCTTCCAAAACCTTCCAAAATAGCAGTTTTGAAATAAGGCAAGGTCATTCTGTTCTTATGAGACTTTCATGAGGAAAACCATTTTACCAGGGAGATACATCAGACCCCAGCCACCTTCCAATCTCACCTTGGGGTAAGGAGTAGAGAAAAGACCCCAAGAGGTACTGGGAAGGTCACAGCACAGCATGCTTACCAACTCACCGAATCACAATGCCTATGTCTGTATCAGCGGTGTTCTGGGACTGTTCGGGCATGCTCAGTGCTGAGGCCACTTGCACCTGTGTTCTTATGTGGGGTTACGTTTTCAGTTTCCGCTTCCGTCTCTCCAGCTTCCTCCTAGGTAGCTACAACATAACCCTGACGCTCGGTCATAAGGATGTAAGTAGCAGCGGGCCGGAGCGTGACTGTTTCTAATCAGAGAGCCCACCGGCCTGTCAGGGTGTTTCTCCAGGCTGTCTGGAAGTCGTTCCATTTCCCCAGAACCCGGGAGGGGTGAGGATGCGGAGGAAGTCAAAAGTTCAGGGGGTCCTGGGGAAATCGGGGTGGAGGCGCCGCTGATGGCAAGTGGCCAAGAGGGGAGATAGGGTTCTATTTTGGAGCTGTGGGGCTTTGCACATCAGTGGTACATTCCGGGAGACGATTTTCAGCCAGTCAGGGGAGGCAGCGCTGAGGTTAGAAGGAGATGTGGAAGAACAGAAGTTGCTTCAGATGCCCAGGGTCACAGAGACAATGTCCTGGAGAAAATAGGCCGTATATGCATAGGGCGTGGAAGAGAGACCAGCAAGAGGGGGGGCTCTCTATTGCACGCACACGCACGCGCACGCACACACATATGTACCTTACCCCACCCTCATGCGCACAGGGACCCACCTAGCACAGATGCAGGCTGCAGAGAGGCCTCCTCCTCTGTAAAGCCTCCACTGTGTACCACCTGTGCTTGCAGGGGCAGGCCCTGTGCCAACAGCCTTTGAAGGGAGGCGCACTGCTACCCAGAGAGGAAACCCTGGGCCTAAACTGCTCCCAGCGGCAAACTCAGTGGGCCTGCGTCTCTGAAGGCTCTTCAGCCTCTGTATCCGGGTGGAGATTTCCATTTTCGCTTTATTCACTACTAGCATTTGCAGAGCCCCTGTTCCACATCAGGGCCGAGGGTTACCCTCACATCGCCCTCCCAGAGTCATGGTGAGCCCGGTGCGCCCTGGGACTTGAGGCAAGACATGGCCTTCTGGAAATGCTCATCCCTGGGTAGTTGTCCTGAAGCCTATGAGCACAGCCAGAGAAGGGGCTTGCTTCGGACCAAGATTCTCAGCTTGGCCAAACTACAGGCAGGACCCTGAGCCTTCTCCACCCTGGGGG